CCCAAAATATTAATTCTTCATGCTGGGTATTTTTGTCACCTGGATAATGAGCGATTGGTCGGTGGCGGATGTTATTAAACCTTAGCCTAACAACGGCGCCAAAATAAATTTGCTGATCACCAAAGAATATTAATGAAGTCTAACAGAGTTATCTGTTTATGAACTAAGCATATTTTTAAACGCATGAGCTTTGTATTCTAGCCTCCTATGACCGCATGCCACTCAACATTATTGCATTTCTTGAATTAAAGAAAAAAACCGAGGGACGCTTTCTCCGGTCGAATTTTTAATAAACGGGTTTTAGATATGTTCCGTGATCGATATAGAGCATTAGTCATAACTTGCTTACTGCATTGAATAGTTGGTGTGCTAAAAACTATAATAATCAACATTGACAAATGAAAGCCAAATTTATTTATTTCCCTGAAGTTGATTAGCAACAATAAAAAATTGCTATATTCAAGCTACAACCAATGTTCAGGCAGGTGTGCATCCGGTATTCGTTGTTTTCAACTTCTTTGTGTATGTTGAGGTAATATGTCATTACCAGAATCAGTTGCACGTGTCACCTTCATTCCAGAGAGTAGATTTCGTGATACAAAAGGAGCGTCGAGCTTCTTCCTTACATGGATACACATCGCAGCCTGCAATTTTTGTAATGTCCTGTCAAACTTTGAGGACTTTTTTCCTCTGAGGCAAAAGGTCTTCGAAATGTGTATCGTCAGAGGGTCGTTTTCTAGCCGACTGAGCACTTTATTGGAAATTCGTGACAGGCCGCCAATGTCGCCGTGTGTTCTGTGTTCTGACAAAAGGAAACAGCATCGACCACTGTAATAATATATTGTTCCTTTGCCTGAGCGTTGTTAGCTCTCCGTGACATAAACAAAGAATCGCAGCTAACAAGTCTCATCTTAATGCAAAACGTTTTGTTTCATTTGAGGTTTCTTGAGTCTTGCACTTTTAAAAGCCATTTGCCTCTTCCAATCACTGAAATCTGTGACCTCATGCTCAGAATTATCTATATGTGAATATCATTTCAGCTCCAGAGCTCTATCAATGGTTGTGGACCCGCAGAGTCCCAATTTGCAAGATCGCCTTCTGCAGTTCCTCCGCTATAATCGATTTCTCGATTTGCTTAGTAGGCGCTGATGGTAGCTTTTCACTGTTCCAAAGGCACGGATCCCCACAGGAATGGTTTCCGCCTTTACGCTGCAGAAAATCTGTATTTCGACCATCATTTCCTGATATTTCAGAATTTTTTCTCTCCCCTTAACAACAGCATTGCCGTCAGCCGGACTTGCTATGTCAGTAATTCGTGTCCCACTCTTAGCTTCCTCTACAAGCACGATATCCGGAAGACGAATCGATATTTTTCCCTCAATTTCCTGTATTGGAAAGTCCCGGAGTTTGTCCTCAATTTGTATTGGAAAGTCACTTGCATAGTCTAGAACACTGTTTTCGGCTGATCTTTTCACCGTTGCTTTGTCACTGGTAGGTCGGAAGCCAGCGGACGTTCATTGAAACGTTATTGCATCATTCCTTTTATTCTCGACTTGCAAGCCTTTAGCGGTCGGAACTTATATGGGCCACACCCTTAACCTCCAATTACCACCTTCTGAATGTTGTCTCTGTTTGCATATGCCGGTACCAACTGTGATGTTCTAGGTCCCAAGGACGGATGAGAGAAAAGGAGGGTTAGGGACTGTGTGACGTTTTCTGCTAAACTGAGCCGCCTGTCTCTTATGGTATTGCCTTTATTAAGCGCTGACGAGTGCCATCGCCCGCGCAGGCTGCTCTGAAACTCGATCATCTCAAAGTCAGTGATGAGAACCTGTTTCCCCCATCCAGCTGGAGGGTGCTGAAGATCAAGAGGATGCCAAAGGTCCCAGTCAGCAACGGAGCAGCCACACGTTCTGAACAGATGAGTCAGACAGTGCGATGGGATTACAACACGTCAGATGGAACGATATCGACCGTGTGAACTCACTGGAACATCTTCTCACCCAGAGGAAACGAGCAAGAAATAGCTGATGAGATCCTAAGCTACCCATTGAACGTAGCTGAACTCTCGTCCACGAAGCGAGGGGACGCCAAAAATCCAGAAAGAAATCCATCTCATGACTGTAAAGTCCATTTTAAACGCAAATATGCAATGACAAACGATACGAATATGAACCTATGCACGCCACATGGTATTTGGCGCTATTCCATAAGTACAGTTCTTTACCATGCCTTGTCATACTGAGTCATGTTCCAATTATTTCAATCAAAAAAATATGGCTTACGAGTCATACAGTTGGTTCTATTTGCAGATAAGGTACTTCGATTTACGTTAAAAAATTTGTTCAACTCAGTTTAATGTCCTGAGTGATATCACCAGCATTTCGAAGTATGGATGGCTTTTACGTAACTCTGACAGTCCGATTAGTAAGCAGTTGGAAATCCTGACTAACATTACTGGCCAGCAGAACTATAGCCAAAACTTCCGCAACTGAAAGAACACCAGAGCCCCTGGAAAGGCATTAGAGCTGTCACATGAGCTCAAGTTCCTGGCGTTCCGTTCAGGACGCGGATTGGCCACCGCCTCTGGGGTCGAATATTATAAAAGGACTAATCGGTCGCTGATGAGGAGAATAAGTATACATGTTTATGGGAGAAAGGTAACGTTGCGATGTGTCGTATCTGTGTGCAAACTTTAGACATGCAGAGGGTAAAGTGTGTAGACTGAGCAGTTCCGCATGACTGGCTATTAGATGAACAAATGGGATTGGAAGTCGCATCCGCGAGGAAAACTATATTTTACAAATGTTACTCGTCTTGCTGTGGTTGTCCTGTTGTCTTCATCCAATGCTAAAATGTCGCTTGAACAGCCGTCCTCAGATGTACGACGTATGACCTTTCACGAATCTTGTCTCAGATGAATATTACATTAATTTACTTAGCGTATATTTCCAGTATTTTTGCTGACTGCTGCCCTCAACAACCGACCGAACGAATAAACCTCTTTGACCTCAA